AAAATCAACCCACTTGAAGTGAAGTTACTCAACTCCAAAACCCATTAATTAATGCAGATTATGCTAGACTTGTTAAGAAGTTGGAGAAAATGTCAATCCTTTTTCAATGTTAATTTTTCTGATGATCCAAAGTGAGTTTTGTCAACTACCTCAACTCAACCAAACATGCATCCAAAGTTAATTAGTTTCATTCACAAGTGCATATGTTTGTATCGCCACTGGAACTTCAATAGCATTTATTATTTCAATGCACTAATAATGAATAAGTAATGAGTGAGATTTTTTTGCAAATGTACTTTTGAGGTTCCCGAACACATGCCCTAACATGTTAGGCAAAATTTCGAGTTATATTTGAATTTGTTTTTAAGGTTCACACATGACTTTCTCCTGCAGCTACACCATCTGGTAGATAGAAAGATACATGAGATACGATGTAATCGACTAGAGCGGATCCAAGTCCTCCAAAGTCCAAACTACTCTTTAACTTGAAGTTAAGAAAAAGAAGAAACAAAAACAATCAACATTGGAAGTACCATGATTTAGAAAGTATAATCCAAACAAGCCTGTATATTAAATAAATGTGAAACAGATGGAAAGCGTTCTATGCCTAATCTTTGAGGTATATTTAATTTGCAGCACACAAGTTTTATCTTTTTGTTAAGACAGGATTTAGCTTTAAAGACAACACTATAAAATACAGCTAGCCATGTTGTTTTTCCTCATATTCTGGTTCCAGCATATATATCTTAATCTGATCTTAAAGTAAATTAACAAGTAAAAAAATATTCAATGGTCAATAGTCATCTTTTACTTTATGGGTGTGGTCGGCAAAACATTGGATACATATTAAATTGTAAGTTATTTTGTTTAACTTATATATACAACACGTACCCCTAAAAAAATAAAAAAAAATAACAAACAATCTTATAGTTTGGATGGAAGGTTCACACAAAGTATAATATCATCTACTTTGAATTTAAATTCTCATATATTTATTTTTTATTATCACTTAAAAAGCTTTATACTAGTGAGGACATATATATGAACACATTTTGTTTAAACCTCCAATTATCATGACCAAAAATTCAAGTGATTAAAACACATAAACGTGAGAAATGTTGCAGGGGCAAAACTTCTGATATATGTATACTCAGAATTGTACAATGTCAAAAACCATGATGACTGATGAGGACTAATTAATATTTGTAGGATGGGAGCCAGCTGAGAGGCTAACATTTTTGTTGGAAGATTGCTGAGAAAGAAGGGATCTAAATTGCAGCCACACTATCGTGCCTTAACCACAAACATAGAAAGAGAAATTGAAAACATCCAAAATATGAAAAGGTGCTTTTGTGTTTTTCCTGTCTCATTCATACACAGCTCTATGAAGATCTTCGCGTGAAATTTTCTACACAGCCGCATCATACCTGCGCCCGTGAACGTTTCTTGGACCCATGCTGTCCTCTGTAACAGTACAAAATGCTACCATCACATTGCAGCACAAGAGACAATAAAAATCATTATATATGAGCCAACTTTACATTATCTCTGTTTTATTTTTTGTTATTTGGTGTTCTTTTAGGTGAGTGTTGCAAAATAAATTTTGAATCAAAGTGATTTTCACCACACATGTCCGAAAGATAAGGGTAGAATATACTTTCTCAAAAAAATCTCTTGATTCAATAATTGTAGGATCTATCTTGTAATATGAAAGTTTGACATGGTGGTTTTAAATTTGATTTTTATCTTATTAAAATAATATCTAATCTGTAATAGTTACATCTTATGAATATATATATATATATATATATATAGAGAGAGAGAGAGAGAGAGAGAGAGAGAGAGAGGGGTCAAATGAGACATGTGTATTTTTTACTA